GGCCATGGTGCTGAACGTGGAGCTTTAGAGAGAAGCAGAGAAGAAATACACTTATTTCCAAATGTTGCGCTTTTTTGTGGATGTGGGGTGTGTGTGTGTGAGTGTATGTGTACGTGTGAGTGTGAGTGTGTGTGTGTGTGTTTCTTCTCCTCTCTAAATGAACCTTCCTTTTTTTTTTTTTTTTTTTTTTTTTAATCCTCTCCAAAGCATATGTTTTTTGCTGGAGAGAGAGAGAGAGAGAGAGAGAGAGAGAGAGAGAGAGAGAGAGAGAGAGAGTGAGAGAACTCCAACTGGGGATGGAGCCTGCAATCCTTTGGTATACAGGATGATGTTCTAACTGACTAAACAACCCAGCTAAGGCTTGGACCTCTATTTTATTTGAGGCTTCTTCCCACTCTGAGAACTCCAGCCACAGAGCAGTGGAAACATTAGAGCTTGGAAGGAGGCCCAGCTCCCAAGCCCTTTGATGCCAAACAGGAACAGGAAGGTACCCAGGCATGCGGTCTCTAAGGGGAGAGCTTCCCATCTCAAACATGGACCCATCCACTTCTCAGGAAGGAGAATCACACTGCGATTGGGGCCTAACTCTCTCACTTGGAAAAGTGGGAAGGAATTTTTCAAGTGTGTCATTTTTGAGGAGACTCTGGGGACCCTTGAGCTGTCCTCAGGAAAGCCACTGAAAGCAGACTCAAAAGTTCAGAGATCTAGCCTGGCCAGGCGTGGCACAGTGTTTGAGCATCCACCTCTGAACCAGAGTTCATGGTTCGATTCCTCGTCAGGGCATCGATCCCCAGTGTGGGGGGCACGTGAAGGAGGTGGCCCATCAATGATTCTACCTCACTAATATTTTTCTCTATCTCCCTTCCTCTCTGAAACCAATAAAAGTATTTTTTTAAAAAGTTCAGAGATCTCAACCCTGGTCACTGGGTATGGCTACTACACCTGTACTTTTATTTTCTGAAAGTTGTATAGCTGAACTAAATATTAAAAAGAACAGGCCGCTCTCGCCAGTTCGGATCAGTGGAGTGTTGTCCCATTGACTACAGGGAAGGATTCCAGGTTCAATTGGTCCTCGGCCCTGGAGGGAACCAATTGATGTGTGTGTGTGGTGTGTGTGTTTCTCTCTCACATCGATATTATCTCTCTATCTCTCCCCTTCTCTTCCACTCTTTCTAAAAATCAATGGGAAAATATCCTTGGGTGAGGATCAACAACAACAACAAAAAATATTTGTTAAGTGAATAAATGACTGACATTGAACACTTGAAAAATATAAGGTTCAAATTTATATGCTACAGTAATAAAAAAAAAAACACCAACATTCATTGTCAACAAAGAGATTTTATTAAGTGTTTCTGTTATCGTTCTGAATAATAAGTTCATTAACTGCCTCATTAAAATACTTTTAAAAGTGCCTTGCTACCAGCTAAGGTTTCTTCGATGATCCTTGAACTTGCCTGGCTCAACTTGCTGGAGGAAACAGATCTTTGGACAGGAGATTTGGGTTTGCTCCAGGTTCTGCTGTTTATGAGCAACTCACTTTAACTCTGAGCTTGTTTCCTCTGCTGGGTAGCAGGACTGATAACACCCACCCTAACTACTTTTCAAGAGCACTGTAAAAATCAGGAGATGACAGATATGAAAGCAGGATATGAACTGCAAAGTGCAACCCACACTGAAAGTCTGGGTATAATGACCCTTATCTCCTGCTGTGGCTCACATCACCCCTCCCATCTGCAGTCTTGTCAGCCAAATCCCCATCATCCAAATCTCCCCATAGTTCAAGGTCTAGCTTCTCAGTAACTCTCCACCAGAAACGGACCGGATCCTTCCCTTCCAACTCTGCTTTTGCCCGCTGCTGTAATGGTTCACAACTGTCATTTAATTCTCCGTCACACAGAAAGGTAGCACAGTGTGGTGTTTGTAGCTCAGGCGGACCTGCAGGGGATTGAGGCTGTAGCATTTGCTGTTTGAAACCTCTTGTGCCTACCTAGCATCTCTAAGTCTCATCTACAAAACCCGGACGACAATGACTCTTACAGATTTGCTCTAAGAGGAAATGACATTATTCCCATAAAGCACTCAACTCAAGGCTGTGCATACAGTAAGTGCTCAAACAACTGTAGGTGTTATGACTACTGAATCTTGTTTTTTCACTGTGTCCTGAATTTGTCTAATCTCCCCAACTGAATTTTTATCCTTGAGAACAGGGACCCTGTCCTATCCATTAATTTGGTTACCCCCAAACCCACTTCCTTTTCAGAAAAGTGCTCAGTTCATAGTTTTTCCCTACAAATACCTGTTGAATTGAGTAAAGTGAATTAAGTTGTTCTCTAAACAGTGTTCAAATCTTTACAATAGTCCATCACAGCCAGCTTGACAAAGTCAATGCGCTCAGAATAAAGTAACTTACTCATGCTAGCCCTATTGTCACACTAAAATGTGTGATACCCAAAGCACACAGCCCAGCTATTCTCACTACTCAGCTATCCTCCCATGTCGGACACCCTACATAGTCAACAGCCTAGAAATATTGCAGAGAAACAGATTTCCTGTGGGGACCTCTGAAAAATTCTGGAGCATTCTCTTTTCCCAAGACATGACCTTTAATCTTTTAAGTGTAGATAGCATCATGGATGACACACGTGTGAACACAGAAAATGCTGAACAGCAACCTGAGGACGATGTTTTAGGGCTGCATTAAGGGTGAAACAGTTCTTTTGGTGTTTTGCTAACAAACTTCCTTGGATGTCATAAACCTCCCACCGATCTCTATACCGTGTAATATTATGGATAGATCCTGGTGACTTACCAAACAAATATGATTTAACTCTATGTTTTCAGAAGAGTAATTACAAACTAAAAAAAAAAAAAAAAAGTCCATTTTATAACAACGTCAACAACAAAATTCTTAATTTTATTTGCTATCCACAACTATTCCCAACTGCCCTAGAAATTATGCTTGCTTTTCCACTTAAAAAACTGACCTAGAGGTAAAATAAAAATGTTCTTTAGGAACCATATCAATTCTTGCCCAGATTGAATGAAAGATTGAAAAGTAACCCAGGCACACTTTCATGCTGTTCTGTCTTTAGTCTCCTGATGCCTGAGGGCTTCCTGCCCAATCTGGAAAGTTTATCCCAACCCTGGTCTGTCGCTGGTGTTCTCTCAGCTTCCTAGACTCAAGGTAGGAAAAATGAAAGCAGCAATTACTCCCCCTTCAAGAGTGTACATTTTACTGAATTTTGAGCACTAGTATCTTCTTGTTCTTCATCCTCCACTCTCTCATACCCAGAATTAACCTACTGTAAAGTTTCCTTACTATTTTCCAAGTACACAGCCGACAAGGGGGGGAGGGGGAGGAGGAGGGAGAGCCTGCCTCACTGGAGCATACTAAACCCAAGTCATGCTGCTCCATTTTCATGATAAATGTAAATGTTTTACTAATAGGCAAATTCTTTATTTCAAATGGATAAATCAGGTGGTATCGAGATATAATATTCCAACCAATCAAGTTTAGGAAAACGAAAATACAGGATTCCAAGCTATTAAGTTTAAGAAACTGGCAAGAGTACAATTCCAGAATATTCTCTTTCTGGGTCATAGCATTTCACTTGACTATTAACCTTTTGGTTTTTAGTTCTCTTAAGAAACACAGGTGCCGAGAGCAATGCTGGCCTCAGTAATATCTCCCCCTCGATGGAAAGATCTATGTGCCTTCAATGACCACTCGTGTAAGAAATGCTATGTCCCTCCTATCGATATTTCACCTCTATTAAGTGTCTGTTCGATTTCTCCGTCCTTTGTTACTCACCCTTTCTCTTCCTCAAAGCAAAAAAGAGAGATCTTGGTGACAGACCACTACGCCACCTGGCTTTTACACTGTTTTAATTCGTAGTACTACTCACCCGAGTTCTGAACAGCAATTTGCTTCCTTAAACTCTGTCAACTCTCCCCCGTTCTGACCTTTGCTTTTAATCACTCTAGCCCACACTTTCCCCCATTCTCTGCTTCCTTACTGTACAGCATCCAGTCCTCCCCCTACCAGCGGCTGTGAGGCGTCCAGGATGGGCAAGGTCACAGCCAAATGCCACCATTTACTCTCCACTCTGATGTTATGGCTCCTTCACTCCTAGAGGCAAAATCCTAATTTGGGGCTCCAGGTCTGCAGATAAGGAGCTGCACAAGCCAGGTACCCAAAGCTGCACATGGAAAGAGTGGCAACATTTTGGGCTCCCTACTCATTCATCATGCAGCCACACTTGTCAAAAGGTCTCAGAGGTGCTGCTTTTGCTCTCTGTCCCTGAGCTGAGCCAGGGATGAGGGCAGTAAAAGCAAAGCAGGGCCAGTCTCTGACCCCAAACGTTGTCATGAAAAGAACACAAAGCCAGGAAAATGAGGAGCTGCGCAATGATAACTCGCACTATCAAGAGAGGGTCAGGCAGACAATCACACTTTTATTTTCCTTGCGCTCTTTGACTCTAGATTTAATTTAATTTTGTCATAGCAGGATTAGCAACCAGGACACAAAGGCGAAGGGACACAATAATAAGACAGCATATTAATCCTCTATCCCACCCAAGGCAGAAGCAAAACCAAACAAATAGCGGCTTCCTGGAAATTGAATTTCTGTTATCCAGATGTCAAAGATGTAATACCCCAATTACACAAACTATTGCCAGTGAAGCGTGCCAGCGAATATGCAATGTAAATGGGGTGAGCACAGAGCGACAAAACTGCACCGTCAGCATCTGGCTCTGGGAGTGAGTGATAATTAGCACTGTGTGCAGACACTAATAAACATTTATGTCTGAAATTACAACTTTTACCAATGTTAATAAGGCATATATTGGCAATCTGTGAAATAAAAGGTCTTGAAAAGAATGTCATACATTAAGCAATGACAGACATTTCCCATTCGGGCACAACCCCTTTCCCCCCCTGCTAATTGGAAAGGGCCGCCTTGTTTTACTGCGGAATTAACTGATTTAAGAACCTACCTAAGAAAATGGACTGTGTCTCTTTGGCCTCCCCATTGACATCACTGTTGAATTCTGACATCTTATACACCTCATGGTGGTAATCTGGGATGAGAAAACAACCCAAAATTAGAATTCTAATGACCTACACAATACGAACAAACAATATAGACTAGAATCTCATTCTATATATATAGTATGGGTAATCTATACTTTTATTTTACAAGTATAATTTTCCAGAACTCGGTCCATCACAGAATTTGTAGTTACTAATAATCATCTAAACATTTTGCTTACTCGGAAGTACACAAAGTTGAAATATTACTTTGACTTTAGAAAACAGCTTCGCTTGACCACACGGTTTTCAGAGTAAATGTGGCCCACCGATGCCAATTAGGAGACTTCTTTTCTTTCAAATGACAAGGGTGTTTATAGGGAAAAGAAAACCATGCCCACGCATAGGCCAGGGGAGGGTTCCAAATCGATCTCCACAACCCATTTTCATGAGCATGTGAATAGCAGTATGCTTTAATAAACTGGGTACTCTCAGTTTACCCAGAAAAATCCCCACCGTTAAGCAGCTTAGAGGCAATCACACTGGGAAAATACTGACGTGTTATTTCAAATATAGTATAATTGGAATAAGAAAGCAAGATTTACATCTTTCACACAAGTGAGTCTTCTGCATTCAGCTACTATGCTTTAATATGCAATAGTTTATTTTCTAAAAAGCACCTGCAGAGAAAAGAATCAGACCCATAATTTAGGGGGAAAAAGAAAAAAAAAAAAAGAAGAAGAAAAACTTGCTATGTCAGTCAACTTTAAAATACAATTTTTACAGGTTTCTTTATAGAGGCTACTGTTCTTTCACGATCCATTTCTAAAAAAGTAGGATCAACTAGGTAAGCAAAGAGCTGTTCCTTCTTAACAGCTATTTTCATGGCCTTGAACCTCACAGGACAAGGTCTACAGAAGTACTCTCACTTTTAAGATAAAGTAGTAAGTTCCCTGAGGTCATAAATAAGTAGGCAGCCTACATTCCTGAATGAATCAGACAAATAGGCCAATTATACATGGAGAGATTTTTAAAGTACAAATGACTGAGCAATCAGCACTGCTAGGAGAAAAAATGTACACAGAAAGAGGACAGAGCCAAATATTTTGAATTCATAAAACTATTTCAGACCTCTTTCATTAAGACGTGTCAAACTAAAGCAGGGGAAACAGATACAAGTAGATCTTCAAAATCTGCAAGAAAACCATTTTCAGACCAACTGAAAGCAAGCTTTATTGCCTTTAGTACATGATAGTTAGGTTAGCTTGCAATTGCCCTCTAATTTTCACCAGCTTATCTGTGACTCTCTCCCCCAGATTGTTAAAACAATTGCCTTGCTCTCTACTCTGATACCAAAATTAGACAGAGCAACCCAGGAAAAACGGACAGGTTCTGTGGTTTGGTTTTGGGCTCAAGTTGATTCAAAGATATTTAAACCGAGTGGTTCTAAACTCAGCATTAGGACTTGTGACATTGTCATAAAAAAAAAAAAAGGCACCTGCTTCTCATTTAAAGAGACACGATGCATTTCCATAGACATGTTTTACATCTGTTCTTAAGTTCTGACCACTTTTTTTTTTTTAAAGGTCAAATCAGGAAAACAAAGACTCTAACAAGTAACAGAACACACAGTTCAGTGATGACAGGATTCGACTTTCCCCTCCCCTGATACAATCAGCCCCAGCCCAGACACTGCGGTGCACACCTGTTAAATCATCAGGAACTGACTGGGTGTTTGTTTTTTTTTTCTTTTTCTTTTAAAAAAAATGATACTTATCTGACTGATAGGTGATCTATCCTAAGATATCTTTGCAACTCAAATAACGTCCCTAGAATCGGCTTCGGAAATGGACCATTCTTATAAGGGTTTGTAGGGCACACGAGCTTCTTTCTCGTTCTTAAAAAGAACCACCTCCCCCCTCTTCCTTTCTCTTTGGGGGTGAAAATCCCAAACAAACCCCAAGCCCACGATCCCCAGTCGGGTGGGGCCCGCACGGCCCGGGGAGAGGCGGTTCGCCCCCAGCCCCCGCCCGGCCACGGGAGCGGAATACCAAAGAGGGCTCGGGCTCCCCAAGTGTCATTGTTTGCTAATTTCCTCAGTGGCCTCCGACTTGTTTACCTGGAACCACCGCCGCCCGCCGCCCCCGGACAACTTTGCCCGCCCCCGGGTGCCGGCCGCGGAGGGAGCGGAGGCAGCGGGGTCGGGGGTCCGGAGCCCGGGGCGGGGAGCGGGGGGCGGGCCGCGCGGGGCTGCGGACGCGGCGCCACGTCCGGCCGCGGCGCTCACCTCGGCTGGGCAGTTTGAAGCTCTGGGATTTCCTGCTCCGCTTCCTCTCCGAGAACTCCATGGCGCGGCGGCCGGCGGCGGGTCACCGCGGCGGGGGCGCGGGGACCCAGGTCCGGCCCCGGCTCCGCGGGGGAGGCCGGCGCGGGGAAGAGCCGCCTGGAGCCGCGCGGGGGCCGCGGCGCGCGGGGCTCGGCGGGAAGCGCTTTCCCGGGAGAAGTTGCCCCTCCCGGCCGCCGCCCGGGCCCCGCCGCACGCCCCCGGCCCCGGCGCCCTTCCCGGCTCCCTTCCCGGCCCCGGGAGGACGCGGCCGGAGCCCAACTTTCCGCGGGGAGCGCGCCGGGGCGGGGGCGGCGGGCGCCCCGGGTGTCGCCGCGGGCCGGCCTGGGCGCAGCTCGGGGCGCGGCGGGGGCGGCGGCGGCGAGCGCGGCCCCGGGGACGCGGCGGGCGGGCCGGAGGCGGCGGCGGCGGCGGCGGGTGCGAGCCGGGTCGGGGCGCTGACCGCCCCCGCGGGAGGAGGGGCGCCGGGAGGGGGCGGCGCCGCGGGGACCCCGGGGCCACCTGCTGGCGGAGCGCGGCCGCGGCCATCCCCGGGCCCGGCCGCCGCCTCCCGCCCACCTGGCCGCGCGCGCCCCGCGGAGGAGCCGGAGGCCGCGGCGCCCTCGGCCCGGCACCGCCGGGCACCCGGGCCCGAGCCGGCGCGGGTGGGTAGGGGCGCGGGGAGCCCCGGCGCTGGGATCGCCGGCCTGTGGCTGCGGCTCCCGGGGGGGTGGATCTGGTTATAAACAGTCCTGGGTGTCGGGGACCCTCCTGGCTGGCCCCCTCCGCCTGCAGATCCAGGATGTCCAAGGGCGAGACTCGCTGGTTTTAGGCAAGTTTTAGGAAAAAACAGGTGCCGGAAACTTACCCATCTGCGCTCTGCAAGGAAACGAAGAGATTTTAGAATTGATTGGTGAGAAGAGTGTAGAAGGAGTGAGCTTCAATTCTTTACCCCAATGCAAAGAGGGATGTGGGAAGATCCAGAGTTATATGCAAGTAGAGAACTTGGAGCGGGTGGAAGGGTCAGGTGCAAAGTGTGTGGGTCCATGATCGCCCTTCCTAGGGAAGAGACCAGCAAGGCAGTGCATGGGACGCTGCCACTTGAAGGGATGGTGCCACAGTCATTGACATAAACAGAATGCTTTGGCAGTTTATATAATATTCTTTTCTGGGGAGCTAATAGCTTTAAGGTGGGGTTGGGAAAGAATTTCACACCACCTGGGAATGGCAGAACGGGATACAACAAGCCAAAGTGATCATTAGCTGAAACCGGTTTGGCTCAGTAGATAGAGCGTCGGCCTGCTGACTGAAAGGTCCCAGGTTAGATTCCGGTCAAGGATGTACCTTGGTCGCTGGCACATCCCCAGTAGGGGTTGTGCAGGAGGCAGCTGATCGATGTTTCTCTCTGATGTTTCTAACTCTCAATAGTCTCTCTTCTCTGTTAAAAAAAAAAAAAAATCAATAAAATATATTTTCAAAAAACAAAGTGATCATTAAAAGTACCCGGCCAAACTGATCATGTCTAGACCCAAATACAGAGAATGAAGAAACGGACAACAAACATATCCACCACTGTGACAAATTCAGGTGGCCCCCAAAGAGTAAAGAGGAATAAGGGGAAAGGGTATGTTGATAAATGTGGTAGATACTACTGTGAGTCTCACCGAAATGAGACAGCCACTCAGGGTCCATGCTGGTGAGTAGGACAGCTGGGAGAAAGGGGAAGTTGAAGGCAACTAGCCAAACGTACACAAACTGGGAAACAAAACTAAGGAACTGGTAGCCAACCAAGGAGCAGAAATAGGGCCTGGTACGGATCCTGAGGTCTTAGGTGCTATGCTGCTAGGTGCCAGAAGAGCTGTTCTTTTAGTTCCTTAAAGCAAACCCTTAAACAGGAGGTTTTAAAAATATATATTTTATTGATTTTTTTACGAGAGGAAGGGAGAGGGATAGAGAGCTAGAAACATCAATGAGAAACATTGACCAGCTGCCTCCTGCACACCCCCTACCGGGGATGTGCCCGCAACCAAGGTACATCCTTGACCAGATTCGAACCTAGGACCTTTCAATCCCCAGACCGATGCTCTACCCACTGAGCAAAACCGGTTTGGCTAATTTTTTTTTTTTAAGAGAGAAAGAAAGGAGGGAAGGAGGGAAGGAGGGAGAGTGAAAGAGAGAAGAGAGAGAGAGAGAAAAGAGAGAAACCATTGATCTTTGATTCCACTTACTTATGCATTCCTTGGTTGATTCTTATATGTGCCCTGACTGGGGATGGAATCCAAAAACTTGATGTATCAGGATGACACTCTAACTAAGCTATCTGACCAGGGCCTGCAAACTTGAATTTGTCAGTGTAGTAGTATCCTAAGGCTTCCATAACAAATTACCACAAACTTGGTGGTTTAAAACAATAGAAATGTATTCTCTCACAGTTCTAGAAGTCAGAGATCACTGTCACTGGGCCAAAATCAAGGTGGTAGCAGAACTATGCTATCTCCAGAGGCTCTGGAGAAGAATTCGTTCCTTTCCTCTTTCTGTGCCTTGCTTCACTTAGCTTCTGGAGGCTGCAGGCATTCCTTGGCTTGTGGCTACATAACTCTAATCTCTGCCTCTTTCTTCACAATACCCCTCCTCAATGCGAGTGAAGTCTCCCTGTGCCTCTCTCATAAGAACTCTTACAAAGGCATTTAGGGCCCATTTGATTATCCAGAATAATCTCCCCATCTCAAGATCCTTAATTCAATCACTTCTACAATGATCATTTTCCTTATAAGGTTATATCACAGGCTCTAAGGATTAGGATGTGGGTGTTTTTGGAGATCCATGTTTAAGTCTCTTAGTCAGATTGCCTCCAGATTAACTGAATGATTAAGGCAAGATAGTTACATTAGAGACAAATTCTGGCTGGGAGTTTGGAAATGAGTGCAACTACTCAGTCAAAAATTTTAATATCTGTGGGTCTCTGTTTCTTTATCTGTAAAAATAATAACATGCCTTATCAATTCTACAAAGTTCTTTCGGTGGAATACTTCATGTAAAAGTGATTTGAAATATTAAAATTTAGAGTCATGTGATATTACTCCATGCCATACTTGAGTATCTTACCTAGCTATCAAAGTTCACATTTTTGCCAATGAATGAAATTCCTAGGTAGGTGAATATTTCCTGTGACATTAGAGGTATCCAGGGCATAGGGGAAGTTAGCCTGGATTTTATCCCAAATGTTTAAGACAGTGTAGCATCGTAGTTTGGAATGTGTCCTCTGGTATCAGTCTTCCCGGGTTTGAAACCCAGCATGATTGCTTCCTACTGGCACAATCTTGGGCAATTCAGGGACTGATATAAATGAGTTACCCTCCCAGCACTATATCCAGGGACGATTAATAGAATTGTTAACTAATACAAAGGAGGTTAGTGCTAAAGGCGTAAAGGTGTCTAAGGGGTACAGAGGATAGTCTCTACTTTTGGCTGAGGGAGAAGAAATAATTAAGGAACTAAGGACGGTCCACCCCCATCCCAAGGCTGGGATTCAGTCCTTTTCAGAGAAGCTATCGCTACTAGAAGGACATGTAACCTGCTGGTAGCAAAAGACTTTTAAGAAATGGGGCCAGAGTTGCTCTGCAGAAGCAGTAACCAGTGAGGAGAAGGTGGCCAAAGGTGTATCTGGGACTCCCCCAAGCTGGCATCTGGGCTCCCACATTAAATAAAGACCTTTGGGGGTCAGAACCTGTAAGGGAGGGTCTTCCTGGGGATGCAGCCTTGCAGTGTCCCTCTGGTGCCCTTTGACAGAGCCTAACATCCCATCCCACCTGCTCCAGAGTACAAAGAGCAAAGAGGGGTGGGTTTGGAGCTGAGAGGCAATACATTGATAACTAACAGTTATTTATTTCCTTATGTTCTTTATGCCCCCCTCGCCCCACCAAAAAAGTCTAATTTTCCTCATCAGAATGATTATTAAAAGTAAATGTGTTAATGAATGCATGCAAGTGCCTAGATTGGTGGCTAGCACAGTCAGCTTTTTCAATTGTCTCTTATTTGTTGCCCCTCACAGGCCTGTGTCACAGCTGATCTCGATAGGAAATCAGGTCACTGCCCCCACCCTCATGAAGCATCATCTTTAGCACCTTTAATTAGATGGTCAGATTTGAGATGCTCCGTGGGTTATATTTGAAGGGTCAATACTATCTCAAAACCTACCTTTAGAGATATAAGACTTCAATAGTATAACAATTTGGAGGGAGGGAGAGATTAGCTCTTTTTATGAAAAATATTGATGATACCTTTCTGTTTGAGTCTTTAAATAGAGAAGTCAGTGCCAAGTAAGTTAATTCCTTCAGTGTGTATTAATTGCCTACTGTGAGTCAGTGTTCTAGGCCCCTGGGATACTGAAGTGAACGAGACAAAACATTTTTGTCCTCATGGAACTTAGATTCTAGGCGGGTATCTGGGGGAGATAGGCAATAAACAAAATGAATGAAAATATGGTATAAATGACCTATGTATGGAGAAAAATTAAAATGAGAATGAGGATAAATTTGATTCTTCTTCTTGTCTCACTACTTTAAAAAAGAGCATTTTGTGTGTGTACGTATGTGTATTTTGATGCCAGTTCCATGTGTATTCTTGTGGAAATCAGAAACCCAGGATCCCAGGAGAGCCTGTGATGGGAATGTTTCCCTTTCCACATAGAGATTTGTGTTAAATTTAAGTTAGGTTTTCCTGTTTTAAATCTTTCCTTTACAGTATAAACATGTTCACTTCGTCAGTCAATTCAGGTTTATTGTACCATGCTCACATATTACTCAGGGGGTAATAAAGTTCTTTCCCAAGAGCAGCAGTTTAATATTCTTTTAAGTTCCAGATTGGTGTGATTATGCCTGATGAGCTTTAAAGCCAGTTGTTGTTTTTTTCCCCCTCCACCTGTATGTCTAAATGTCAGCATCTTAAGTCTGAGGCAGGCCTCTGTGTTAAATTCTCTTTTAAATTTGTTTCCTCTTTTAAATATTCATGGCCCTGGCTGATCTT